CCAGCCATCCCCTGGCCACTGGGATGGGGAGGGCAGACAGCCCCAACACCCAGCCTGTAGGTGAGCACGGGGAGGGGCAGGCTGGAAGTGGGTGGGGCCTGGCTCCTGTGGACACAGTGAGGGGATGCTGACTGAGTCGTCCCACAGGAAATGTTTCTTTTATATACACAGAGATTAAATAGGTGAGTAACTGAATGGTCCATCACCACTTCGTGAATTTTCTAGTGTGAAATACTGAAGTGTGTGCACTTAAACTATCAGTCTGAAATCAATTTAATAAAGGCTTTTCAAACCATAGCTGGTTAAGTTCAGAGTTGTATGATTAGCTTCCATGATCCTTTAAGATGTTTCCAACAGGTTCACAGAATGTAGAGGACATAAACCTCTTTTAAACATCAACCCCATAAAACAAGCAAACTGAGCCCAGAGAAAGTATGCACAAAGTCATTTGCCCCATTTCTAAAGGAAGCGCTGAGAACAGAGACTGCAAAGGTAAATAATCTCTGAAAACTGATGCCTGTTCTCTGTCATGACCACTATTTTGAATTTCCAAGTAAGAACTTTTGCAATTCTGTTTTCCAAGGTTTATGTTGTTTACTTTTTGTGCTTCATATAGCACAGGTAGTGAGAATGATTGGGCTATTTTCACTTTGCTCTGTACTTGCTTTATGTTGAAGTATCAAACTACAGACATCAAAGAAAGGAGATATTTATATCATTACAAACTTTTTTTTTTTTTAAAACAATTTTTACTCCGCTCAAAGTTTCCTGAAATGCTGGATTTGACAAAACTGTCTCTCTGGGTCCAGACTGACTAGGAGGACATTGGTTCCTTGAGGAGAAAGTTTGGTTCATAGGAAGACTAACCCTCTCCCCAGACACAAGGAGCAATCATATCAGAAAACCTACCAGGGCTCCAATAACCTTCAATTTGAAAGCTTCAGAGGGGTAGCCAAGTTAGTTTGTAACAGGAAACACTTAAAAAATAACAAATAGTCTAGTAGCCCCTTAAAGACTAACAAAATATGTAGACTGTATCATAAGCTTTCATGGGCAAAACCCACTTCTATCTACATGTTTTGTTTGTCTAGTAGCACCTTAAAGACTATTTTTTGTTTAAGTTTCTTCAATTTGAAGACTGCTGAAATCCAAACAGTAATACAAAGTGACTTGACAAATGCAAGTTGTAAATCAGAGATGAGCACCCAAAATAAAACTGTGGATCTGAACATACCTATTTGGGGAGGATCAGGTCAATTCTCTATAGCTCAAACTCATGACTGTTACTAACAGGGAAGTATTAGGAAGGCCCAGATGAAAGTTTCTTCAATTTGAAGACTGCTGAAATCCAAACAGTAATACAAAGTGACTTGACAAATGCAAGTTGTAAATCAGAGATGAGCACCCAAAATAAAACTGTGGATCTGAACATACCTATTTGGGGAGGATCAGGTCAATTCTCTATAGCTCAAACTCATGACTGTTACTAACAGGGAAGTATTAGGAAGGCCCAGATGAATCCT